AATAGTTTAAGAAATGTTCCTACATTCTATTCTGCTTCTGAAGTAGTAAATTTAACTCCCACCTACCCCAAACCCTCAAAACCAGGGACACAGGAAGGCAAGAGCTTTTTTACTTCCAAAACAGTACATCATATAATGACGGCCTGCTTCAAATGCATGCAGTTATTCCGGTATTAATCCCCATTTTCACTGGCCAGCAGATATCAAAGGAATATGCTTAAGTGTCTCTGTGTAGCAAAAATGGAATCTTCCTGCCTATTAGAAATAATGGCTAGATGCAAACATCATTCTAAACCATAATTTGTTCAGCATTTATTATGTAAATAATGGTTAATAAACCTTGGGATATTGATTAGTACTATGTGTAAATCTGGCCTTTAACCCCGCCTCGCAAGATTCTTGTATTTCCATACTCTCATTTCAATAGTGACTCCACTCCGTAAAAGTGTGCAACTTCTATGACATCAAGGCCACATCAGGCTTTGTACAGCACACTGAGGGCTGCATTATTTTTAAGAGAGGTTCAGGACCTTTAAGAGATAAATATAGATGCTATACAGGCTTAAAAGAATGATTTTGCCCCTTAAAAGTCCTCCAATCCTCTAAAATACAAATTAGGCTCAATGTTTTTGCTCATGCCCACTCTGAGGGTGCAAGATGGTGCTAGTAGGGTGCAAGTGGTCCAAGGGCCACACTGTTTTTACATCTGGTTAAGGAAGGCCAGGAGGGCGAAAAAGCTGGAAAATTTTCTCCTTGCATTTTAATTTCATTCTCAAGGACCAATTAGGCTGCAATCAGACGCCTTCTGGTACTCCAGAGATTTCTATATCAAAGACAGCTCTGGAGACTGACATCCCTGTTGTATACTAGAGATTTAAAAAGCTGGAACAATTCTCCACCACCATGGATGTGCAGAGATACGTCTCTGCTGGGATAATCATCTTTATGTCCAATAAAATAGACTGTTGCCCACAAAAGTTTAGGTTGTTTTAAATATGTCAGTCTATTGCAAATAAATAGTCTTAAAAACTAACATAGCTACTATTCAGCTACAAAGGGTTGGAGCTACTGTCACAAGTCATTTAAGATTTTCAAACACACAACCACAGAACCTGCCACTTGACAAAGAAATGCCTGGGTTGGAAGGACTGAATCTCCTTCAGTTGCTATTACCCCACAACTGAAAAAAGAATGTGAATAGAATATATTCTAGCTTCTGCTTTAAAACAGAAAATACAAGTAACTGAATCACAAAAGGTTATGCACCCCACATCTGGGCTGCATAACTATCATCATCATCATCATCATCATCATCATCATCATCATCATCATCATCTATGAAACCTGTATGCTACACAACTCTAAACGATTCTGAATGGCTCATAACAATCAAACAAATAAATTACAATCAAATTAATGGATAAATAAATGGGAATGCAGAGATACAGAAAAATCTCTCTTTGTTTCCATCTTGTGGTCATCCTCAGTTTCACAGCTCAGATATGGTATTTGTACAAAAGGTAGAGATTAAAAGGCACCCATTATCCGTTCAGCTTCTTCCCTCTCAGCACCACAAATAAACTGCCTCTCAACTTGCAACACTTCTCAACACTCTGGCATCTATATGATATTCACATTCTCTAGATTGTGCCTTATAACCTCCATGGATGGTCTGCAACCATTAGCATAGCAACCTCCATTCTTCCGAAGTTGAACTGTACAAGATGTTTTCCTGCTTCTGTTTCAGCACAATAGCACAAAACTCAGCACGGGAGCTCATACCTGAATCCATATGAAATCTGATGATGCATCCTTCTCTGGAGTGGTCTGCGCTGAATGTACAAAACTGACTATCTGCTACATAGAGTGTTTAGAAAAATGGTGTGGGCGGATGTGCAAGAGCACCCACATGAGGACAGAATGCATGAGATTGGCTTTCTCTAGCCCTAGGCTTCCCTTTTATATGGCAAATTCCATCATCCCAGCTACATGTTGGTGGGATGGCTGTGGATAAGGGGCTGTGTAACGCCACAGATCCAGAAAGAACCAAGCTGGCAAAGGTTGATCTGGGTCAAAGGAAGAGAATGGACCATATGGAATTTTGAGAGCCAGCTGTGGGCACTCTCACAAAATGGCTACTATGGTAATCACAGGCAGTCACTGAAAATCCCTTTCACTGGAAGATGAGATGCTAAAATTGCTTCCCGCCTCTTCCTCTAGCTTCCTTGGGTCATTTCTATCTTAACAGCTTATCTTTAGCGGCGGGGGGGGTGTCCCTCCCCCTTGGGCACTTCCAAACATAACCCTGAGCTGCAGCAATCCACTGTTATTTTATTGAAAGAATGTTTATGGGGTTTATTTGACAGACAACAGAACAGAACAGAAAATTAGTCAGTTGCCAGTACAAAAAAAAAAAAAAAGACAGCCAAAAAAAGACAAAATGTCCATATCCATATAGCTAAATGAATAATAAATTGAAAATGGGATAAAAATAGACATACAACCTATAACATCCATTAAGTATGAAATTTGTCTATATTATTTACTGCTTTCAGTCCTTGATTAGGTACATGTAAAGAATAAGTAAGAAAAATGGAGTGGAGAAAGTAAATAACTTTATGGCATACAATATAGAATTAAATGTAGAATTTTGCCTTGCTAAGCCTGCTGAATGTTTTTTATCCATAAGGCACTCACACTTTTGTAGGGCTTCAGAGCAAAATCTCGAACCTGTGACAAAGTAATACAGGCTGTATGTGAAGGTAAAATTCAGCAGATTGCCCTTTAAACCTTAAGTAGAATTATCCTTAGGCATCTAGCTTGCTTGCAAAAGGGGCAATGAGAGACAAAAGCATTTCTGGTCAATAAGGATGATGATACTTGTTGATCTGTCTACCTACCTACCTACCTACCTACCTAACTACCTAGTGTTTTGGTATCTTCAAGTCAGTGTTGACCTCTGCCTGGACAAGTCCCTGCAGTTTTCTTGCCAAGATTTCAGAAGTGGTTTGCCATTGCTTCCTTCCTAGGGCCAAGAGAGAGTGGCTGGCCTAAGGTCTCCCAGCTGGTTTTGTGCCTAAGGCAGGGCTAGAACTCAGTCTCCCAATTTGTAGCCTGATGCCTTAACCACTATAGCAAACTGGGTTTCTCATTAAAATGATATAAAAATACTGAGAAGGCAAAGAGCCTGGCAAGAACAAAGGTGATGTCCTTGGATACTTTGGTCCAGCCAGAAATCATGCCATCTCCTCCTCACTTACATCAATACAATAGCTGGTCCAACAGATTGTCTTCACTTGCCCTAACTGCACGGCTCAGTCTGACATCTTGTGATTTCCAAGATCCTCACTCAGCCTGGCCATCAATTCTCTGGGTGGTAATCTGGGGGGCTGCATTTCCAAGTCATCTGGAGGGTACTGGAGTGGGGAAGGCTGTGTAGTGAAGGTCATGACTGAACTAAGACTTGAACTTCCACTTTCTATGGTCACATTAAAATTCCATTTGTTGCACTGCTTCTCCAAACTCTGTCTTGAAAAAGGCATTTATGTGCTGTGTCTCCCAGATAATTAGCACCAGATTTCTGCTGCATCAATTTAGATTTTGACACGTAGGGGACATTGGCCAAGAGAATGCCTCCTTCCCAAATAATCTACCCCTGTGGAAAATTGAGTCCCACACAGGCTTTCAGTGACATTTGAATAAGATTACCTGAAACTCAGCAACAGTCATTCTATATTAATATCCTACCTTTCCCTAAGAGCTCAAGAAATTGTTTATCTTTCACAACAACCTTGTGGGTTATATTACACTGAGAAATGCCCCACAATCATTTCCAGCAGTGTGGCTGAGAGAGATATGAAACTGGATCCATCTATTCCTGGTCTAAAACTTAGCACTTGCACATGTGAAATGTACCCTTTTTAACTCTGAATTTGTGTTTTCATATGAATGCATGTGTATCTAACCAGCCCATACTATGTGAACAGAGAAAACGGATTAATTTAATAGCAAAGAAAAATGTGTTGTGCTAATAAAACCATTTGGAATCCTGTTTTTCCTAACTGGTAATCAGCCACTGCCTCTTAATGACCAGCTAAAGCCCAGAAGTGACTGCTATTTTACAGAAGTGGAAAGCCAAAGCATGGCAGAGCATCATTTTCCAGTTTCTGGATCCATAACATGACAAACTGTCTGTTCTTTGGCACAATAAATCTTCTGCCAAGTAAGCAGGATGGTCTGTGCTGTCTGGAGTTCACCCATGCGCTCACATTCTCCCTGTCCTCCATCTCTGCGATGCCTGACTTGACAGCAAGGCCTCCACTTCCTGCCCACGGCCTCCTCAGCCGTGCTGGAAAAGTTTACCAGAGCTCCAACCCAACCTGCTGCTGGCCACAGCAAGCAACGTGCATGTGTGTTTGGGGCAATACCGTTGAAGGTGAAATACTTTCTACAGTCAAGCCTGAACATATGCAAAATGGCCCATCCTGGAAAAGCTGCTCAACATGACTTGGTATATTGGGGTTAATAAACATCTGCACATGCACAGGGGCACCTAGGACGTGCTTATTTCCCAGAGTGTTTTACCTTGTCTTACTAATATCCTAAGTTTTTATTATCCAGAATAAGTCCTGGAGTAAAACGCTGACACAAACTACAACTCTGTCAGAGCACGGCTGCTCCTGCCAGTCCTGCTCCAGAGCTCCAACTCCCGCTCTCCCACCATTATATCCATGCACTACCACTACAATGACTATGCCACAAACCTTCTGCACATGCTCAAGGACACCCCTCTTTAGCAAGAGCCCTGGCGATAAAATCGGGTGAGCGGAAGGTAGGGAGAGGAGAGAGGTTTGGATACCACTGAATTAGAGGGCAGAAGATGCCCCGGGGTTCTGGAGGAGGAACTTCGCCTGAGCGTCTGGCAAGGACTGAGTTTCGCGGGCACCTCGTCCGGCCCTTTCCCGTCTGTTTCACAGCGATCGCCAGCGAATGCCACCTACCTCCGGGCACGGCAGGTGCCTTCAGCCGCTGCGCCCTGGCCAAGGACTCTGGACTCACTGTAGCGCGCACATGCCGGGCGGCAGCAACACCCCCGCCTCACCCGCCAGAACTGCGCTCCGCCTGAGCCATGTGCTGGGAGGCGCCCGGTCCTTCGCTCTGCTCCCAGAGCCAGATCCGAAGGGGAGTCCGCTAGCGCCGCAGCTGCCCAGCGCCCCCTTCTTGGTGCCGAAGGCGCCTGCCGCTCAGTAAGACGCCGCTCCCAAGCCACCTCCAGGCACCCAGGGGGACCTGCTCCGAGTGCTGCCCCCGCCCTCTGCCGCTTCTGAAGATGCGATGGCCACGCCGCCAAACGCCGCCGGAGAAGCAGCTCCCTCTCGCATCCCCGTCTAGGCACCGTCTACAAATTTTCGCTTGTTACTCGCCAGAAAAGGGGAGGGAGGAAGAGGCCGTGGTGAGCCCTGCGCGTGGCTTTTCTTCCTTTCCAAATCGGGGAGGTTGCCGGAGGGTGACTTTCTCTCTGGAATCAAGGGGGATGGCGCGTCTCCGCGCCCGGGGTCTCCGATTCCCGCCGCGCGTAGGAGGCAATTAATTACGCGAGCCGCCTGGCCTCCGAGCTGAGGCAGAGACGCGGAAGAGGAGACGGGAAAGCCTCCGAGGAAATCATGATTGGATTTGTGTCTTGCCAGGAAGCGAAAGAGCGGAGCGAAGAGAAGGCAGTTTCTCTGTGCGCGGGGTAACTGCAAGGCAGAGAAAGGTCAGTCGTGGGAAAAGTTTGCGAGCGATCCAACAGGGACGCGGGGAGAGAGAGCGCCGCTGCTTCTTCCCCTCTGAAAGAAAGTGGCGAAAAGGATCGGCCAAAAGTGAAAAGCAGGAAAGAAGCGGAAGTACCCCTCTCTAAAAGAAGACGATTGATATGTGGGGGGGGGGGGGAAACCACCAGGGAGAAGTGGGATTTGACTGTAGAATTAGCTCTTTTGTTTGTTAGACGTCTAGCTTGCCTGTCCTCCAGCAATTCAGGGATCTCTCTTCATTTTTGCCTCATAACCACAACCTTGCAATATAGGTTGGGCTGAGAGAGAAGGACTAGGCCAAAGCCACTATTAAGTTTCCATGGCTGAGGGTGGGCTTGAACCCAGCTTGCCCCTCACAACACCTTTTTGGATCATTGGACGTGGGAGTCCAGGCAGAAAAAGAGGCTTGCTGTCTAAAGAGTTAGTGCTATGTTAACTGGGGCAATTTCTCTAGCATAATATCCTGCTTTGGTAGAACCTCTCATCACGAGCATTTTAAAAAAGCCATTCACAGGCAGCAGATGCTTTACTGGGTTAAGATGCAGGGCCCAAGAGAAGCTGGAGCATTGACAGGACCCAGCCTGCTGCCCTCACCAAACCTCTGTGCAAGTTGACCGTTAGAATGGTCATCTGCCAGCTTAAAAATACGTCTGCATCGTATCTAAAGTAGGTTGTGTTGTCTAAAATTTCAAAATTTAAAATTAATTTAAATTTTAAAATAGTTTTAAAAACTACCTCCAGTCCCTACATGGAGAAGAATGCGTCCCTCTGCACGAAAGCGAGCCAGAGGCACAGGGAGCAACGGATCTTGCTCTTGCTCTCACAGTCCTTGGTTTATGGCTCTGTTACTTTGCAGTGTGGTCAACATAATGCCCTTAGGGACTGGTGTATTATGGGCTGGGTAAAACAGCTCAAGCAGTTTAATGTCACACTCACTGTTATAATACTCCTGTCCTCAAATCTAATTGGAAGCCAGCTGAGATGATTTTGAAATACTGGGGTAGTCATGCATAATGATAAATGTTTTAACTTTCTTGGATGTAGCTCTCTTGGAGGAAGATTGAGATGGGGGAGAGATTTCAGAAGAGAGGAGATTCCATTTGGCTGTGAGTGTGAGATGAATCAAAAATTATTTATTGTTTATGGTAATTAGGAATGGATGGATCAGCGACAGGGAAGCCAAGATGTAAAAGCATATGTTACATGGAACAAATATTGGGTACAGATTTCAGGGTTTCTCTGCTCCAAGAAAAGGATGTTTTGAAATGAATTTTTCTAAAAAGCTCCCTAAGGATTGACTTCATTATCTGCATGTTTTTATGGGAAAGCATTCTGAAGAAAAGGTGTCCTAAGCAGAACAGCGGAATGGCATTTAGAGAAACAATCTCAGATTAAGGCTTGTAAAAGGAAACCACTGAAAACCCCTTTGTAGTGAATTAACAAGTATGATACTTGTACAGGTCAGTAGAGAGAGAACAGAGATTACAGTTCCATGGGAGATTATTTAAATATCCGAAAATCCAATATTAAATATTGTTGGGTTACAGGTGAGCTTCTCATATACACAGGTTTTCACTCTTTTGAAAGACTATTAGACTCTTTTTTAACAATTCAGGTTTAAAACAGCATTAGACAGATGTTTAGAGAGTGCTATCATTGTGCTACACAGAAGGTAATTTTAAACTGAGAGAGCCGAGTTTTCAGCTCTCTTCAAAAGGGGTTTTGGCTGTATTTTCTGTTGCTTATACCATTTTATTATTTCATGTGTGAGGACTACAACTGCCACTTAGAACAATCCATGTTCTAGGGACCAGATCACACAGCTGCAATCCCCATTTTTTTTTTTTTGTCTGCGCTCAGTCATTGCTGACCCTGCAGTGACTGCTTGGACGAGTC